TTCCTTTGATTCTAGAAACGCCAGATTTGTTCGTTTTCTTTAAAATTTGTTTCAAAAGAATCTCAAACGAATTATTACATATTTTTCTTCACCGATTAATTTACAAAATGGCCGACAGCCGAGTCAAAAATTTTGCGCGCTATTTAATAAGTGAACTCTCATTGGTCGGAAACTGGCAGGGAGAGAAAAAGAAAGAAAATGAGTGTACTAAGAAGGAAATACAAAGTGTTCACATTTAATATCCAGATTTAGTGATAGCCCTCTCTCATATAGAAAAAAATATCATATAAAAAGATTAGGCTGCCATTTTATAAATTCTTTCGATATGTTTCTCAAGTTTTGGGCTTACATGTACATAATTGTTTTACATATACCTATTGTACACAATTATTGTAGACGATAAAATCACAAAAATGGCTACTTGCGATATTTTGTATATGTGTATTCAGTACAATATCCTGGTGAATAGAAACTTAAATTAACATTTTATTCTTGTTTAATCATCATTTTCTAAATTAGGGTTTTCGTAAAATTTTTTTTTTCATATTCAGCCAGCTTTACTTTATTTTCGTTTATTAACACAATGATGCCCAACAACAAATTTCTTTTTTATCATTGCATTAATATATAAATAAATATATAAAGAAAGGCAGTTAAAAAGAAATTTAAATTGAAAAAAAAAATTCATTTGGCCATACATATAAATTCTAGGTTCCTCGGAATGAAAGGTATATATTTATCTATCTATATTTATCTTTAATGAAAGGTATATTTATCTATCTATATTTATCTTTAATGAAAGGTATACATTTATCTATCTATATTTATCTTTAATGAAAAGTATACATTTATCTATCTATATTTATCTTTTACTTGTCATTATACATAAACAAAATTGGGGGCGATTTACAGCACTTCTGAATTGAAAAAGTGCATCCGTAAAAAGCCTAATATCTTAATATTTTGTAAATCTAAGAATAACAACACAATCAGCGAAAATTATTATTCTTTTCACTTTTAATTGTACGCTAAAGCAAAGCCTGCATTTAAATCAGAAATTAAAGCCACAACATTTGTATAAGAAAAGAGGAGCGAACCGCCTGAATAAGCCTGGAAAAATATACTTAAGGGAATGTCGTCTTTCAAATTGTTTACTTCGGAAACTCTTTCATTTATCTATCATCAAGGATTACCCATAAAGGATGAGACTTTATGCAGAGTTCTTCTTTAAATCTGTAGGTTTTGAAAAAAGTTTGTTAACTTTATCAATTTTTTTTTTTTTATTAAACAAATTATTTGATATATGTATTTAATGCAGAATGCAGATATTATAGTTTTTCCAATCTTCCCTGGCTGTCCTGTTTTGTACATTTAATTAGCTGCATAACCCCC